CATACGAACCCTTTGTACGAACAAAAGTAAGAGAAATTTAGGATAAAAATACGAACATGTTCTGGCATGAGGCCCAATGAAACTTAAAATTTATATCTGGTCTGAAGAATTCACCTGCTGTCCATTCCAAACCATTTTTACTTGGTCATGTGCTGCAATGATGTCATCTGATGTTAACCCTAACATCATTTGACATGATGTTATCACAGTCAGAAAACGTTAGAATATTATTTGGCAAACGGTTGTTAAGAAATCCTTTAAAAAATACTAGATGTGGGCTTTGATACAAATCAACACCAACATGTAATCATTTGTTCTTTGTCACAACCTCAAAATTTCCTGAAACCTGTTCATAACTTTTTGAGTAATCTTCTTGTGCAAAGACAGACGGACAAACAAACACCACCTCTATGGTGGAGGTAAAAAGTTGCTGAATTAGCACAAACTGTGTTTCTCGTGTGGCTGCAGGGCTGCAATCACAGGTAGAAGATACATTAAACTTACATCGTCACAAATAAGCACACATTACGCACATTAACGTCAAATAGGTTGTATTGTGTTAAAATATACTTGCAAATACATTTTTCTGTTGTTTAGCTCTTTTTCTCAACTTTATCTTATAATTGAATGTACTTTTACTCTCCTTCAAATAGATGCACGAAGATCATCAATGCGGACTCTGAAGATCCAAAATATATAATCAATGTCAAACAGTTTGCCAAGTTTGTGGTGGACCTGAGTGACCAGGTGGCTCCGACTGACATAGAGGAGGGCATGAGAGTCGGGTGAGGCGCCTGCAATATTAGATATCCATCCATTCATCCATACATCCAGACAAATCTGCTAAGTTGAGTGTGTCTTCTCTTCTTCCAGAGTGGACAGGAACAAATATCAGATCCACATTCCCCTGCCTCCAAAAATCGATCCCACTGTCACGATGATGCAGGTGTGCACGAGGAGAACTCTTTCAGAAAATAGAACATGTTTGAATTAGTGGCATTTAAGAATGACTTACTAAACTAGTTTTAAAGGGATCCATGATTAGTTGTAATATTAGACTTTATTTAATAAACGTATTTTAACTGTAAAATAAAGACTGTAAAAATACGTAGGCTGTTTAGTTTTTATAAGGGCCATTTTATTTACTCACAAAGGATTCTGGGTAAATGATGATGTGGATAGGTCCTCGGTGCGAGGCTGCTAGCGAGCTATATCCACCCTGAAGTCTAATCTTGGACAATATCTGATGATCGACTCTTTTAAATGAAACCAGAGAGCGTTGACAGAGAGGAGAAGGTAGAAATGACTCAGTCTGTAACTGAAAATGTGGATGGAGGACAACAGAGCTGCTTCATGGAAGAAGAACCTCAGCTTAGCCTGCTTGCTTTAGCGTTAGCCCCGATGATATGACCATATTTCAGTCAGTAATTGTATGATAAATTACTAGTAAATATGTATTTATAGTGGTGATGTTTTTGACGTGTGTAGGTGGAGGAGAAGCCTGATGTGACTTACAGCGACGTTGGTGGCTGTAAGGAGCAGATTGAGAAGCTGAGAGAAGTGGTTGAGACTCCATTGCTTCATGTGAGTGTTAAGTTGCCCTAAACTAAAACACATCCTCTGTGTGTCATGACAGACACAGTTCTTGACATGGACACTTAAAGTGTGCTACATTTATGCTTCATAAAAGTAATAAAAAGCAGCATATAAATTAATAGAGAAGAATGAAGGTGTCTGCTAGATTTAAAGTTTTATTCAGTAACACATTAGCTACAAACACATAATGCAGATTATAATTATAGTAAGATCCTCTGGTCTGAATTTGCTCCAGCAGTGTAAAAGGTGTTTGCTATTAAACAAGTAGACCTAGTAATGATAAAATCACGCAGAGTCCCATCAAAAAGACAAAAAAGCTTTAGTTCCTTTTACACAAGTGGAGACGATCCTCAGTCCACAACAAAGCAGCGTTTCCACAGACTCCTGAGAAACAGACAAAAGACCTCACTGACTCTTATCTAATGGTTTAAAAGAAAATCCCACCAATAGAAAACAACCAATAATCTATACTGGGAAACATGGATCAAGAAATGACCCTTGTAAAACCTGACAATCCAGTTGTACCTCTGCTGATTGAAAACTGTCATTAGATTAAAAACATGAAAACTTATTTTTCTAAGTTATTCGGGGTTCCCATGGATCCTTAAAAAGTCTTAAAAGGCATTGAATTCATCAATCCAAAAATAAGGCCTTAATTAGCCTTAAAATGTCTTAAATCAATCTTTCAGAGGTCTTAAAAATGTTAACACACTGACTTTGTCTCAAACATTAAAATGATTGGTAACATTTATTTATTTATTTATTTTAACAGTTTACCAAATTTACCGCAGCTAGTTGTTTTGCGTAAAAATAAACATTTGGGTAATTTTTTTTTCACATTTGTGTTTATTGTGAAGTTGGTCTTAAATTTCCTTTTCAAGTGGCATTAAAAAGCATTAAAAAGTCTTAAATTTAATTTGCCTTAAGCAAGGCAAGTAGGAACCCTGAGTTATTGTATTTTCCGGACTGTTGGTTGCGTATGTCGCAACTGTCAAAAAATGCATCATGAAGAGAGAGAGAAAAAAAAGATAAGTTCCATTTATTTAGAAATTTGCTTCACAAAGTCCAGGAACAAACGTTTAATCTGGAATAACACAGAAACGCACAGAACATACCTGGTAAAAGGCAAACAGGTGTGCATTGAAAATGAAGCTCCATTTCCTACAACACTGCTCATTAAGAAACTTTATACTGGATTTAATTTTGTTTGGTTAATTCTCCTTTATGTGTTCCACATTGCAGAAATCATAGGGCCCTGCTTAAACTGTGTTTTGTCAGTGTTGGTGGGATGATTTGTAATTTGTCCCCCCTTTTTTTTTCACCAGCCGGAGAGATTTGTCAATCTGGGTATTGAGCCCCCTAAAGGYGTGCTGCTGTTCGGACCCCCTGGCACAGGAAAGACCCTGTGCGCCCGTGCCGTTGCCAACCGAACCGACGCCTGCTTCATCAGAGTCATCGGYTCTGAGTTGGTGCAGAAGTATGTGGGAGAGGTGAGCTCGAGCGAAGGATGACGTTTGAGCGATTGCTCCGCATCACAGGCCTGGTGCTTCACTGTGTTTGTGTTCGCAGGGAGCCAGGATGGTGCGGGAGCTCTTTGAGATGGCCAGGACTAAGAAGGCCTGCCTGATCTTCTTCGATGAAATTGATGCTATTGGAGGTAAGAGTTCAAAAAGAAAAAAAATTGTATAGGTCTTCTGGACGGGTTCTTCTCTAA